ACTTAAACAAAATGCAAATGAACAAACTCAAGATTTTACTTTTATTAGCCAAAAAAACCTTCATCTGTGCCCTTCCTGAACTAGTTTTGCTTCGTTAATGGAGTCAAACTTCTCTGATATAAATAAAGACAAAGCTCTGCCAACTGCCACCCTATCCCCTCCCCACCCCAACCTAATGAGTGTCCTTAGTGACCATTAAGGCAGTGTAACTGGGCAGAGGAAAGGCAATGGCGGAATTTACTCACAGACTCAGAGCCCCAGTAACAAAATGAAACGAAATAAAAATAGGGGCACAGAAGCTAATAAGGGTACAGGCAGGGATTTTTAAATCAAACCCCTAATGTTAACCTAACCACAGGTTTTTATGCAATCCTTTAGCGTGACTAATCTCCCACCCCCTCCATCATTTCCCAGATGTTGATGAGCAAGTGACTCAAACAAAGCAGAATCCTTTCTATGTTAAACCATTAAAAACAGCAGAACCCCCACAGGGGCCATGATGTTATATCACTTACACAAGCAATAAGTTGATTTTGCTGGTAAGTGACTACTATAGATCTCATGCAGATAGGAAACAAAGGGTCAGAATCCAGCTGCCATGTCCACAACCAATATGGTCACCTCTCCACCCAAACTAGGTTTCCCAAATGACAGTTCCTCTTAAAGTGGTCCAAATTTTACCAGGGGATGTATCCCCCATAAGTCTACTTTTCATGTGTGTCCATCTGTCATGGATTGGGTCTGCCAATGTCGGTCTATATTGTCACAGTCTGACAGGGTTATTCACAACAGGGTGAAGAGTTTGGGGAAGGAAGGAGAAGTGAACAATCTAGGACAACATAACTGAACCGGAAAGTGAGCTGAAATGGAGGATTTTTCTAAATGAGCTATGTTGTCCTAGATTGTTCACGTCTCCTTCCTTCCCCAAACTCTTCACCCTTTTGTGAATAACCCTGTATGTCTATCCATGACTTTGTGTGCCAATGGTAAAGTCTGACCTTTTTACTTGGTTACTGAACCCCAAAGTAAATCCTAATGTTTTTAGAGTTTACAAAATGGATTATATCATACTCTATACAATATATGTGTACAGCCTTGAGACAAATGGAAAATTGAAATATATATATATATATATATTGTGGCAGTGTAAGCCAATGCCACGGTGGAGGATGGCGACCTTGGTACCCAGGACTCTCAGCCAAAGGGGCTGAGAGGGTCCAGAAGGTAAAGCATGTTATAAGGAAGAACCTGGCTTTTCAGGTTATTCCAGGTTTTCCTATTTGCAGCTGGGATCTGGAGCTCTGGAGATTTCGTAGAGCTCTGGGTGGGATGAGATCTCCAGTCCTGGGGCCAGGTGTTGCCAATGACCAGCCTGGGCTAATCAGGTGGCTGAGAGCAGCCTTATCAGGAAGCCAGCCCAGTGCTCAGAGAGTGTTGGAGTTGTGTGTGTGCAGGGAGCACACGGACACAGACCACCTCGGGTGCATGCTGGACGCACACGGAACAGCCAGGGGTAGCTGGGAGCGGTCAGGAAGGTCGGTGACCCTAGGACCTGCGGTACGGACTGCTGGGAGAGCAGAGCGAGTGCCCACGAGGGGAGAGGTCAGGAAGGTCGGTGATCCTAGGACCTGCGGTACAGACTGCTAAGAGAGCAGAGTGAGGGCTCACGAGGGGTGAGCAGCGTGAGTGTCTTGAAGCTGAGGAAAGCTACAGAGCCATAACAAGGACTGTCTTATGTTGCTGATGCAAGCTATTTTGTGTTTGCCCTTTAATAAACTGCGTTTTACTTGACTTACCTGGACTACAGTGGAGTGTCCTTGTTACAATATATATATATATATATACACACACATATACATACCCACCTTTACTGTGCATGATCGTCCTAGAAATATCATCACCAACAGCTTTATCTTCAAGTCAGATAAACATATACAAAGCATAACCACAAAAGCAGAATTGGTATTCTTATCCTAGATAAAGCAGCATGCATGGATATCCCTGGGCTTATGAAATGGGAATCTATTATTTTCAATACTTATCTGGTTGAAATGCCATTGACCTTATTAGACTCTCCAATCCCTGGGCCACATACTGGTTCCATGGCGATATCACTTAGAGTGAAGCTGTATAGATGCTTCACTCCTCCAGAAATTGTTTACAGCCTGGGGATCAGAGAATAGACCCCTCCAGCTGGAGGATTATCATCCAGTTAAGCCGTTAGATGACAGATTCCCATTAAAAGGTCAGGCCTCCAAAACAAATATTTTAGTTTGGGGTTGAACCACCCAACAGCCTCTTATATCTCTTAGAGACCCCAAAGGGAGCCCAGTTCCCAGCTCTGCCCACCAGCTAAAACCATTAGCTGGTGGGTCTCACTGGGCTGAAGGAATGTTGGGGAGGTTTTACACCTGAAGTTCTTATAGATATAAGACTCTAGTGGGTGATTCAGCCCGCCGGCCTCCACTTCCAGCTGAAATTAATGTTTTGGCTGGAGCGACCTTTAACAGAATTAATAAATAATAGTAGGACAGTGCCATTGTTCAGCATTCATTTGAAGCAAGAATTAAATGTCTGGTTTAGTGGCTGATATAGGGGGAACATCCCTTGAAGGGGTGATACTCACCTGGTTGTTTCATGTAATATTTCTCAATATCAGACATGTCCGTGCGTAGAGCACCCTCCAGGTGATTGAGGATAATTTTCCTACTGTAGTAGTACCTCATGCCCAACAGAAAGATGGGCATACAGCACGCCAGCATCAAGGAGTTGGTCACAACAAAGCATATTACTATGGAGATAAGGAAGAAAAATAAACGATACCTGTCAGAAAAGAGAATTTAGTGTTGATTTCGGAATAGAAAAACCCAAAACAACAAGAATCAGAACATATTACATATTAGACAAAATACACACACATTCATTAACCAGTGAAACAGATAAGTTGTCAGTAATCATATCAATAAAAAAATCAAGAACAATTCATTTTTAACAGCAATTCCAACCAAATGTCTCTGTTTTGTGTGGAGTAAAGCAAGATTCAATTGCATTTTTTTGTAATCTATCTCCAGCCGACATATTTTCCTTGGCTTTGGATACAGCAAATGTGGACACAGGTAGAGGTTCTAACCCAGTGGTGGACAAATAATTATGGAATTCAGGAGCCAATCTGCCTAATCCAGGAGCCAGCTCTGACAACAACTAGAGAAAACCTCAAAAGTTAACTGGAATCTTTAGGGATCATTGACTACCTGGGTCCATTGATTTGTCCAGCCCTGTTCTAACCCTTCCTCAATCTAAAACCAAACAAACCATCTTTGCAGAAGTTGGACTTCAATGCTCTCTGCGACTGTTGTGGTATTATGTCCTCTGTGTGGCTGTGACCAGATGATCCTGGCTTTTCACCAATGCCAATGCTTCATATATTTCCCTCAAGAATCCAATAGGGAGAACAGGATATATAACATGCTGCCACAGCAATAAAAATATGACCTGGTTGTAACCCCTCTGCCATTCAAAATTTTAAAATAAAAGTCTTGGCCAGAGTTCTGCTTAAGAGGCTGTAACATTTACATATACTGTATACTGTGTCCTCCCATGACCCAAAACTCAGCATATACTGCCTGCTATATGCTGAGAGTGCCACAGCTGGGACGAATCCCAGCAATACTGTAGAGATCCACCCAGGTGGCTCCGCCTATCTAGAGGCAGAGCCAGCTGTGCCTGCCCCCTCCCCGTCTGTTCCTCCAGTCAGTGCTGGAGGATAGGAAAGGGGAGGGGGGGGGAATCCATGCGGGGATCGGCGACTGACAGTCACTGCTCTCTGCAGAGAGATGATCGGGAAGTGAGCGGATCTGCGGCATGTTTCTGCTCACTTCCCGATCTATAGAGCCGGGAAGTTAGCGGATCGGCGGTGTGTGTTCACTCACAGTTTCAATGTCACACGTCGGCTCTAACTATGGGGATGAGTGTAATTCACTCACCCCATAGTTCTCCTTTAAAGATACCACTGAGCTCAGTAGGAAATGTTAAAATACTGCTGGCATGCATATTTTGTTTTACTGTCATCTACATAAGTCTATGTGAAAGTTCCAGTGAGCAGTGTAGACAAACAATGAGGCAACTAGCAAAATTGCAAACATTTCTTATTGGGTACAAATGATACAAGACAGGAAATACATAATGCAAATACATAAGAAATACATAATGCGATATACTTTAAACTCATCAACAAATGTGAGGTGACCCATAGCAAACCAAACAACAGACTTTCAGTTTTCAAGCTTTCAACGTGTTACCTGGAATCTGATTGGCTATTGAATTTCACCTGTGGCCATAAACATTAAAATATTTAGATATTCTGAACAAGCTGCAAAAGCACTTTATAAGCCGCTACTGAACTATATAGTTATAGGCCTCATTCACACTGCTCAAAGTCGGCCCGTACAAATCTGTGCGGCATGTACGGCCGCATCGGGCCGTTCCCGGGAAGGACAGGTGCTGCGTGTGATTGTATGCAGCAGCCTGTTCTTCTCTATGGGAGGACGTAGCTGTACGCCGCCCTACGCTCACCCGAACTGCACATCCGTGCGGGTGTCCGTACTCGTACGAAGACAGGATAGATCTGTACGGGCCAACTCTAAGCTGCGTGAATGAGGCCAGTCAATGTGGAGAAATTCATCTTCAAAATTCACAAGAGGCACTGAAATTACAAATTGTTTTCCCTTAGTTTCTATAAAAGCAGAATATTGGCAGCTCTCTAATTGTAAACACACAGCAAGGTAATCTAAGCTGTTACAACCGATTTAAGAGCCTTTATTGTGATCTTTGAGGATGAATTACTTCACGCTACATGCAGCTAGAGGTACTACTCCTTAAGAATCTGTAAATACTTTAACCTCTTGCCGTCCTTATATATATATATATATATATATATATATTTGTTTTACTGTGCAAGTTTTTTTCATATAAATAAATCCATTATTATTAAATACATTTTAGAGCCTATTCTATCAAATAGGCTGCTCTCTTCAGATGTGTCTTATCTCAATATCTAGACTCAGCTGCTATAACCGCGTACAAACTGGGTGATCTGAGTGATTAGCTGCATCCAGTTTGTGTGTCCAGAAGCACTGGCCCTGGATGCAAACTGTCCGGGCCCAGGGCTGGTCAAAGGCCAAAATTGCTTGTAGCAGATGAGCTGGCAATTCATCTGTACAGAGTGCCTTGCCCTGAAGCCGCTGCCTGCGCCTGTTTATTTTTAAAGCTTATCCCCCCCCCCCATGCACACTTTCGGGTTTATTGAAGGGACACTAAGCCCAG